CGGAAAGCGAAGAAGACTGAAATTTACAAAAAAACAATGAAGTAAAACTTGGGTTTTTGATGCCACTTTGCTGGGGTTTCTACGACGAACGACGAGGTGTCTTGGATATGGGGAAATTAGGTTTTGGTTGCGGGTCGACAGTGAACATATTGGTGGTAGTGGTGCACACCACGAACGACGGGAAAGGGCGATCGAAGCTACAACGACGAGGGGGCAGCAGGGGATTTTCTAAGTACTGGTTTTCATGGAAGAAACTGATTTTGGAGTGTTAGAGCTGATCCGATATAAAAGTTAGTTTTAATATTTTAAAACTTAACAGTGTCCTAACTTAAATGGTAGATGCATGGACAACCTTACTCCAAAGGTCGAGGGTTTAAATCTTATGAACCTTTTTTTTGCTCATTTTTTATGGCTAGAAAGGATGGGTAAGTTCAAGGTTATCTATGAACTAATGGAAAAAATTAACGAAATCCCCAAACTCCTAAAGTTTAGCAATTTAGTCCCCAAATTAAGTTAATGAAATAAAAATAATCAAATAGGCGTGACAAGTGCATTAGGTATATCGTTTTATAAAATCTTTTATAGTAAAATATAAAATGTAAAGACAAAAAGACATTAAAGCATTATATTTTAAAAAAATTAATATAGTTTTCGTATTATTTTTTCTCTTAATGTGGCCGTCCAACTCAGAAAACAAACTCAATATGTCTCTTTGACCAATGTTTTCCTTCGTTGACCGTTACAGTACTGACGTGCCAGTCTATGGTGACGGATGACATGACAGATGAACTAAATTGATTTTTTGGTTTTTTTCGATGGTCAATTTAGTTGTTTTTAAAAGTTTAAGAACTAATTAATTTTTTTTAAAAAAATATTTTAAATTTTAAATATAAAATTATGCAAATATTCAAAAAATAAAATATAAAAAATAAAATAAAAAGGAAATTACTAAAATGTTAAATATACATATTAAAAATACTAAAACTATTATATTTTTTTTAAAAAAAATTGAATATATATCGTAGGTTATAAAAAAGATAACTTATTAAAAAATAAAAATATTTTAAAAATAATATATACATGTAATATATAGGTTTATCATCAGTACTTATATAAAGTATTGTTAATGGATTAATCGAGACTTAAAAATTTAAATTTGTCGATACTTACAAATTTTGAATTAGTCGTAACTTATTATGTTTCCTAATTATATTTTAAGTCGAAAATTATTATGTTTCCTAATTATCTTTTATGTCGAAACTTATTATATAATTATCTTTTAAATTAGTCGAGACTTGCAAAAAGATAATTAAAAAATGTAATAAGTTTCGACTAATCCAATAATTATAAGTCTCGACTAATTTAAAGTTTATAATTCTTGATTAATCCAGTAAGAATACTTTGTATAAGTATTGATGATACTCCTATATGTTATATATATATGTTACGTATAATATATCATTTTAGAAATATTTTTTAATTTTTAAATAATTTATAAGTAATTATTTTAAACCCTATTATATATATATATATATATTCAATTTTTAAAAAAAATTATAATATCTTTAGAATCTTTAATACGTATATTCAATTTTTAGTAATTTAATTTTCATTTTTAATATTTTTAATATTTAATTTTTAAATTTTTAAATAATTTTATATTTAAAAATTTAAAATAACTTTTTTTTTAAAATTAAATAATCCCTTGAACTTTTAAAAAACCAATTTAATCCTCGAACAAAACTAAAAAAACCAATTTAACTCATCTTGCATGTCATCGACCATTGTGGACTGTCATGTTAGCACTGTGGACTGCCCCAGAGATGGACCTAGGGGAGCAAGTAGGGGTGGTCGCCCCTTAAAAATTCTAAAATTACCATATATTTTATATTTTTTCTATGTATTTTCTATTGAAAATATATTTTCGCCCCTAAAATTTTATAATTTCAAGTTTGTCCCCTAAAATTTTATAAAATTCAAGTTCACCCCTCAACTTAAAATTCTACGTCCGTCCTTGACTGCCACGTTAGTACATTAAACTACCATGTCAGGACGTAACAGTTACAGATGAAAAACGTTAGTCAAAAGATCACATTAAATTTATTTCATGAGTTAGAGGGCAACATTGAGAAAAAAATAATATGATGATCATATTAATTTTTTTAAAAAATACAAAAACCTCTAATATATTTTTACCAATTTAAAATATTTTTCACTTGAGCTCTATGAATGGCTCTATGCCTCTATCACCGTCCCCATAGGGATGGAATATTTTTCTATCATAATAAAATATAAAATTTAAAATATTCCAAAATTCAACGAATTGAATAAGTCCAAGCATGCTTATCTTTACCGAGTTTCTTTTATTCTACCTCTTCATTATTATTAATTTATTCAGTACCAATCAACATAGAATTTTTTTATTGATATTTATGTTAGTCTAATTCTACTCGACATTGTTTAAATTAGTTGATAATTATCAAATCATTAAAAATTAAAATTAAAATTAAAATATAAATAAAAGAAAAGAAAATTTATTTATGCAATACAAATCAACCATTGTTTCTATATACTAAGCATTGTCTCATCCACTAATAAGAAACAAAATTAGCACGCAACAATATTTATATATACATATAATATATATGCTGATCATTGAAGTATTATTATACAATTTTCAGCCTATAAATATACTAGCATAGTAAGAAAAATGAGTTTATATCGTGCCACATTAAATACCCAACCTAAATTCAATTAAATAGACTCAATAAAATCCACAAGCCATAAGAGCCAGAGCTGGAGCTGGAGGATAATAGCAGACGTAGAAGTTTTATGTTATAAGGATATATTTATAAAATTTTAAGAGAGAAGAATTTATAAAATTTTCAAAAATACAAATATAATTTCAATAAAAATATTAAAAAATATCTAAAATATATAAAATTTGATAATTTTAGAAAAACAATCGTCCGCTCTATCGTAATAATAACATTTTACTATGTATCATGTAAGACCTAAATATTATTACGTTCTCCAACTTTAAATTTTAAATCCAATTTTCATCCTATTTAGAAGAGGGAGAGGAAACTCTAGGAAAAAGAGAGGGGAATGCTCCTAATAAATTTAGAACTCATAACCTAAGAGATTATAAGTGAATAAAAATGAATAACTTTGCTAACCGATTAAATATACTTACTTAAATTTTTCTTTTTTGATTAATTTGAGGTAAATACAGAGTAATATGTTACTTGCTTAAACTCAAATATTATTATATGACATCGTCAAAGAAATGTCAATCTAAAGATAATAAAGATAATTATAGTTTATAAGGACGATAGAAACTCTAGAAAATTATTTGAGTTACCCTAAAAAGGTTTTCAATTAATACTTTTTCTATAAGATTTTCGGTTAAAAAGTTTTAAATTAATACTTATATATTCTTTCTGAAATCTTAAAAATTAACTTAAGGGAGTTTTGTAATTTTAATAGTTTTATTCGATTTAATATAATCATGAGCGGAGTCGTTCGGGCAACATGGGTGACAATTGACACCCAATTTTCTGTAAAATATAAATCTTTCATAATTTTTTAATCTATAGTAATTACGAGTGATAATATATGTTTTAAAAGCTCTCAATCATTTAACAATGAACACTCAAATATCTTTATCCGACTCGATCCGAAAATTTTACATCCTCCACCCGACCTGAGTTTTTGAGATAAAATCCGAACCCGACCCGAAATAATATATTTATTAAAAATATTCTTTTAATTCAAGAAAAATAGGGATTTAATTAAAAATATTATATAGAGGGGTATTATTATAATTATCCCTAAATATATAAGGTAAAATTATATTTTTTTCGAGTCGAATCAGGTCGGGTCGGGTATTTTTCACCCTAAACCCGAATCGGACTCGATCCGAACACAACCTCTAAAAAACCCAACCCAAACCCGACTATTTTTTTAAACCTGACCTAATCGGATCAGGTCAGGTCGGATCGAAATCCATCGAGTTCGAATCTCATGCCTATCCCTAAATACCTTATTGTTACAAATACTTAAACTCAAAACCTATAACAATAACAATAATCCTTTAACCAAACAAATTATAAAACCATTATTTATACTCAAAAACATATAACACCAGATTTGTTTTTTGATTCTACCTCTGATTATTAGAGATTTGTTAAATAGGGGACACCGGTAACACACCAAACAAAGTACACTATTTATTTACGGGATAAATTACAATCATGATCACTAATTATGGGTGAATTTCATTTTAATCATCAATATTTTTTTAATTTTTTTCAATTAGATCATTCAACTATTTAAAATTTATCAATCAAGTCACATGCCGTTAACATTTGACGTGACATTTGAAAATTGGTATAATTACATATTTAATTTTCATTACCATTTTAATTAATTTAGTGACAAAATGTTAATTGTCGCATTTAATCATTACTTAATTTATTCATTGATTAATTACTTAATTTAATCAATTGGTATAACATTTAATCATTACTTAATTACTTACACATTTAATGAGAATAAAATGTGTAGTTATACTAATGTTTTAACTGTCACATCAACTCCTACATTAAATATTAGTGATAAATGGTTTGACAGATACAATTAAAAGATTGATGATCAAAATAAAATTCACCAATATTAAATGATCATAAGTGTAGTTTACCCTCATGTAAAAGTCAAAACTTTTTTTTAATTAAAAAGTCAGTGGTTATTAAAATTATGGAAGTTTTGGGGAAAGTTCATTAATCCAAAGGGTTGAATGATAAAAATTGAATTTTGCTCATAAGAGTTGAAAGATATAAAGAAGTGTACGGAGGGGAAAGAAGGAGAAAATACTTGGAAGTTGCAGGATTATACATTTCATCTAATTTCATTTTGCTTATAAAATCATTATCCCTTCCAATTTCATTTCGATATCATTCATCATAAAACCTTGAAGATAACAAATGAAGCTATTTCACTCTCTCTCTACCAAAATGTGTCCTTCACCATTGCCCTACTTTTTAATCCTAGCAGTGCTCCTGGTTCAAGTAAGCTGCTTTCACTTCAATTTTCCGAACTTCCAGGGCGATGCTGCAAACCAGCTTATCTTGAGCAAAAATTCTTCCATAGCCTTGGATGCCATCCAAGTTACCCTCGACGTTAATGGAGCTTCCATGCAAAACAGAGCGGGACGAGCCTTGTACAATAAACGTTTTAGTCTCTGGAAAAGCAATGGCGCCATTGCTTCTTTTGATACAACTTTCGTCCTCAATATCCTAAACCAAACATCTGCTGGAGGTGAAGGCTTGGCGTTTATAATAACTGGGGATTCCAGTGTTCCCGATAACAGCGAAGGGAGATGGCTTGGGATTGTAGACTCCCGTACGAATGGTAGTCGTGAAGCCGGCGTAGTGGCGGTGGAGTTCGACACGAGGAAGAGCGACGACGGAGACTTGGACGGCAACCATGTTGGCTTGAACATAAATAGCATAAACTCCATCTCTCCAGTTTCTTTAACTGGCTTTGGTTTTAATATTTCAGGAGGTTTGGATTTGTTGGTTCATCTTCAATATGATGGAGAAAACTTGACTGTGAGGGTAAACGATGTTCTTGTGCTTTCCCAACTTGTTGATCTCTCGATCTCACTTCCAAACAAGGTGTTCGTCGGATTCTCTGCATCAACAAGCAATGAGACGCAGTTAAACTGTGTCAAATCGTGGTCGTTTTCGGGAACCGATATTGACGGAGACGATAACTTTTCGTGGGTTTGGATCTTGATTCCGACGGTGGTCTTGACGATGTTGATCATCGTTTTTGTTATTTACTTGTATTGGAGAAGAGGCCGCATCGAAGACGATATGGAAGGGGCAGCACGTGGAAATATAGAAGATGAGATCAATCGATCCGGTTTTGGTCCTAAGAAGTTCCGATTGAAAGAATTGAAACAAGCAACTGCAAACTTCAGCCGCAAGAACAAGCTGGGGAAAGGTGGATTTGGAACTGTCTATAAAGGATCATGGATGAACAAGGATGTCGCTATAAAAAAAGTATCCAAGAAATCGAATCAAGGCAAGCAAGAATTCATAGCGGAAGTAACAACAATCGGCAACCTCAATCACAAAAATCTCGTCAAGTTAATCGGATGGTGTTACGAGAGAAGCGAGCTCCTCCTTGTGTATGAATACATGCCGAACGGAAGCCTTGACAAGTTCATATTCTGCAATCACAAGGCAAGTACCGAGGAATGTTGGACACTCAACTGGGAGCAAAGGCTAACCATCATACGAGGAGTGGCTCAAGCACTCGAGTATCTTCACAACGGTTGTCAAAAGAGGGTGCTTCACCGCGACATAAAAGCCAGCAACATAATGTTGGATTCGGAGTACATTGCCAAGCTAGGGGATTTCGGATTGGCTCGAACTGTTGAAGGAAAAGAGAAGACACATCATTCCACCATAGAGATAGCAGGTACACCTGGTTATATGGCTCCTGAGACCTTTCTTATAAGCCGAGCCACCGTGGAAACCGATGTTTATTCGTTCGGCGTTCTCGTCCTCGAAGTTGTTTGCGGGAGAAAGCCTGGTAACCAAAGTGAGCAGAATAATTACAACAATAGCATTGTCAACTGGCTGTGGGAATTCTATAAGAACGGGAAGATCACTGCCGCTGTTGATTCCAGGATGGATGCGAACTTTGTCAAGAACGAAGCCGAGCGTGTGCTAATTCTGGGATTGGCATGCTGCCATCCTAACCCGCATTACAGGCCTTGTATGAGTAGCGTTTTGCAAGTTCTTTCAGGGGAAGCTGATCCACCTGACGTGCCCCAAGAGAGGCCTTCATTTGTGTGGCCAGCCATGCCCCCATCTTTCAGTCAAATGGATTATTCTCTTAGAGGCAGCCAACTCACTCCATTTACGGACCTCACCGGTCGGTAGAGTCTAAAGTCAATGGCGAGCAGGTTTTCACAGGCTAGTTTAACATTTGTATTAAGATTTATTGTCTAGTTATCTCTTTGGAAATATTTACTGAAGAATTTGCTTTGATCATTAATGCATATATACATGTACTCCAAAGAAATTAGGTTGTAACATAGATTTCTCAAGAAAGAGGACGATGTTCCTTCGTTTGGAGGCCATCCGCCCTTGATATACTTTTTTCAAGCAATTGATATAGGTTTATAGCGAAGGCAAATAATTCAGGGTCCCTCTTTTAAGGCCAACTTCCTTGCTTATCCAAAACAACTTAATTCCCACATGATTGCCAATAGGAGTTTTGGCATTTAAGGTCACAAATCTGATCTTTAGGTGTTGGGCACAATGGTACTATGGGCATCAAATTTAACTTTAAAATAGTTGACCTTGACGGCTTTACCTTGAGAAGGAAAAACACTACTTGCTCCCCACTTGGTCGCTTATGAAAGTTCAATGTACGCTTTTTTTTAATTGAATTATCACCCTAACAAATATTATTTTAAGGATTAATACTCATTTTAAATTGGTATTTATGTAAGTTGTATTTTTTATTTATTGATTTTTTTCAGATGTCTAAATATAATATTTTAAATGATTTTATGAACCCTTCTCACCATGTGGGATATGAACTCAACCACTAAAATTAAAAAATTAAAACATGTCAGCCTTCTTTTCTTATTCATAATTAAATTTAGACTTAATTTTTAATTAATTATATATTTCCATATTAACATTAAATCTCCATATCTTCTTCAACCTCTTAACTCCCTCTCCTTTCATTAAAATTTTGCAGAAAAGTTTTTGCCCGTGTCCAACTCATCCAATATTAAATGCAGGTAGAGCAATTGGGTTTTCTTTTCACAATACTGTATGAATGTCGTTCCTTTTTTGTGGTTTTAAACTCATGGAACACATTGAAAAGGGGAAAAGGTCTGGGGCAAGCTCTTATGCAATTTGTCCCACTCGAATTTGCCATAAAATCACATGCTTCGCAACACCCACAACAACTTGCTATTGCATACGATGAGTTCACAGCCCCAATGCACCAAAGCAGAACATTAATCTGGGAATATTACCGTAACTCTATATCAAAGGAACTATTAAACTAAGGAAACTTGTATCTAAAACCATGAAGTAATCGACTTTGATAAAAAAAATTAATTCATATGATATAAGGCTGAAAATTTTACGTTTAATCACTATGATATAAGGCTAAAAAATTTGATCGATATGATATAAGGCTAAAAATTTTGATCGATATGATATAAGAATGAAAAGTTTAATTACTACTGTAATAACCTAATTTTATCCTAAAATAAAATAAAGAACAAAATATAGGGACCAACCGTGTAATTTTACCTTGTTAATTTTGAGGGGACTTTAAAAGCCAAAACAAAGCAGTATAACAGGGAGCTTTGAAAGAGCAAATAGATACATGGGGAGCTTTCTCCTGCGCGTTTTTTCTTTTTCCCCTTTTTATGCTTATTTTCTTTCTTTCTTTTCTTTAGCATTTATATGTGAAATATGGAGGATGTTAGCTTGGTCGGTAGTTGGTTGTCGGTTTAGGGTGATTCAAACGGTGAGATTGAGGTTTTGTTCGTCGGTTTAGGGGGTCGGTTTGTGTTGGGGACTGTTTTGGGCTTCTTTTCTTTTCGTGTTTGCTTAGGTCTAAGGTCCGACCATTAATGATGGTGGTCGGGGGTTGGTTCTCGTCGATCTACGGCGTTGGTGGGTATTCGGGGTGACTCTCGATTGAGGTTATGTTGAGATAAGAGAAGGTTAAGAACTCGAGGTTGGTTTAACTCCTTATATGGCGGTCGGAGAGGCGAGTTACACCGAAATACGGTGGTCAAACGGTGGTGAGTGGTGAGTGGTGGCCGGCGTTAGTGTTGGTCTTCGAGAGTGGGCTGGCAAGAGGGGCTTCACGTGTTCTGGAAGTGAGGGGGTTTGTTTTAAAATAGTTTTAGTTTAATCGCATGACAGGCCCCTAGTTTCATCATGTCTCTTACTTTTGCTACCTATTTTATGGGTTAATCGCGCATAAATCCTTTCAGTTTCAGCGTGTTTCACGCTTTTATCACTATCAGGGGAAAATCACGTATCAAGTCCCCAGTCTTGGTATGTTATCTTTTTTGGTCACTGACCTATGCATTTTTATTATTTTAAATTAACTGCTAACTTTTATTTTATCGCACATTAATCACTGACATTTGCTACCTATTTTATGGGTTAATCGCGCATAAATCCTTTCAGTTTCAGCGTGTTTCACGCTTTTATCACTATCAGGGGAAAATCACGCATCAAGTCCTCAGTCTTGGTATGTTATCTTTTTTGGTCACTGACCTATGCATTTTTATTATTTTAAATTAACTGCTAACTTTTATTTTATCGCACATTAATCACTGACTTTTATTTTATTATATTCTAACCATTGTTTATTTATTTATGTATTGTTTCTCTTATTCGATTCAACCTTGTAGTGACCCGATCCGGGGTAAGACCTACATTATTATGGTTCTGACTCTGTTAACCACTAATTTTTTTATTTTTTTATTTATTTTTATATATTTGTTTGCATTATTCTATTCGATCTTGTGATGACCGGATCCAGGGTAAGACCCACATTGTTATAGTTCGGATCCTGTTAACCGGCTAATTTTCTAACTTACTAACATTCCAACTTTTATTTTATTGTTCATACTAACATATTGACTTTTTATTTTTATTGTTCTTAACATTTTATTTTATTGCACAAACTAAACCACTAACTTTTAACATTCAAATATTCAACATCCTTGTGGTGACTTGCCCGGATGGACGATCCGCATTATTTATGGTCCGAGTTAAACGCTTAAAAGCAACCTCCTAACTTTTAAATTTATGTAATTTATTTTTGTTTTTTTAAACACTTTAAATTTCAGCATTTTATTTTTTCTGCCCTTTAACTTTGCAGCACTTAATTTCAGTCCTTTAATTTATGCCATTTCTTCACGGTACATATTTGTTTAAAGTTATGCATGGTTTTTGCCCTCCTGTTAAATATTTGTTTCCTTAATTCATGTCATGATCCATCTTACTTTCTATTATAACTTATTTGATGTGATGTGCCTTTTTTTTTAAACCACCCCCATTTATATGGCCACGTTATAGTTCATTAAATGTATACAATGAAAGCATTGCATAACTTTTATATTTAGACATATGTACATAGTACATATCCCTTACAAACATCCATTCATATATTATATATATTACCTGCGAATGTATAGTATACATTTTCTTCAATTTTGCAATCTGTTATATATGTTAAGCACGTTTTGTACTATAAACAGATATATATCGTATGCATGTGTACCTTATTATTTATCTAACGCATTTTTATTATTATTATTTTTAAGTATCATGTAAATATATTAAATATATGTAATTTATCAAGGAGATAACCATTCATGAGGAAAATCTATGAAGACATCTCCTAACTATAAGGAAAGTATGTGTTTGAGGATTTTGCGCACAAAAAACATTTTTATATTCAATTTTTTTCTTTATGATGTTTCTTTTCCTTTTATTATCTTGTTTTTAATCCTTTATTATTTTTTATCTTATTTTATTTTTTATCTTGTTCTATCCTTATTTTATCTCGATATTTTAAAATGAAAGGCAATGTATTTTTGTGAGGGGAATCTATAGAAAAGTCTCCTAATTATAAAGGAAGTGCATTTCCAAGGATTGTTCGCAAAAAAAAAAAAGAAAATCATTCTTTAATCCGAGCATTTCTAAAAAAATAATATAATATTATACACTTTTAAACTATATCATCCATAAAATTTAAGAAACACCATTTTGTGAAGGGAACCCCAGACAAAGTCTCCTAACTATAAAAGAAGTGCATTTTCAAGGATTGTTCGTACAAAAATGATGTGATTTTTTTTATAAAAATAATTTAAATTTTTGGGTAAATAAACGGTTTTATTTCATAAAAATATATTTGTGCTCTTTAATTTTTGTACCTATTGCATTTATTATTTGTCATCATATTCTTATTCGGAAAAACAATGTTGTTGTAGTTTAAGAAAATTTATATATTTTTAGATAAATTCGAATAAATAGAAGGATCATAATTTAAATATGTTTTCGAGTTTGTAATTTCCCAACTTTTAAACATCATATAATCATTTAGGTACCAAACTTGGGAGTTGTGGGAGTGCTTATCCTTCCCCACATGTAATCGACTCTCGACTCTTAGAAATAAATTTTTAGTAAAAAGCAGACCATTTCGTCGTCATTTAATGATTTTTATGAACTCATTAAAATGACGTTTAAGGTTTCCAACCTACTTAACTTAAAGGTTAGTGGCGACTCCAAAATCAAATTGTTTCAAACCTAAATTTAATCGCCTTTTCCCGAATTATTTTTTTAAGTCTAATGAATCTCCGAGGGAGACGTTATGATAGCTTGGCGACTCCGTTGGGACTTTAAGAGTTAGACCATAAATGATTATACGTTGTTTTTATTCTTGAGAACTACAAACTTAAATTGTATTTAATTTATGATCATTTTGTTTATTTCAAGCTTTAACATATCATGCATTATTCTATTTTTAACCAACTGATTTTTGATTTTAGTGTTTTTTAGATTTGAACAAATTTTAGGAACTTGTGAAAGTGTTGTTTTTTTGTCGTGTTTTTAAAAGTTTGTGAGTTTCTCCGTACACACAACATGTGTATTTACATATCATAAGCTCACTTACGAGCTTTGTCCCTTTTAAGTTGAGGTGAAAGCTTAGCATACGTGAGATAATTTGTTTCTCTGCATGGGTTTTAGTAAGTAATATTTGGGGTTTATATACCTTATGTTTACGTGAGATAAATTGTTTCTCCATATGGACACAAGGGAATGTATCATCTCGAATTTAACTTGATCCGCACGAGCCTGTAATGGGTCAGGATTGAGGGTTTGACAGCCTAAAGAGGCACCAATATGGACAATTCGAGTACCTTTTTCTTAGA